CTGCTCAACCCCCGCTGGGCGTCTCCAGGCACGGGAGGCCTTCTCAGGAAGCCACACCTCGGCCCCAGCCCGTTCTGCCGGGAGCAGGCTCTCAGCCGGCCACTCCACATGTCCTTCACGGATCAGTTCTGCCTCAGAGAGCCTGGGCAGGAGACAGTAGCCGGCGGGAGGTGGAGCAGACAGGCAGGAGACAGTGGCGGCACAGACAGGCAGGACAGCAGCTCGGGAGACGGTGAGGGGACAGACAGGCAGTCCCATGACCTCCATGATGGCACCCTCACAGGGCCTGTCCATCGTGCTGGCGAACAGAAACTACACGGTCACCGGGGAGGACCCTCAGGTGTGGCTCCGGGTGAAGCCCAGCTCCCTGAACCTCGTGCTGGACATGGGCGTCCCCGGAAAGCTCAACCTGACACTCACCTGGAACAAGCACATGTCGGTGCTCATCAGGGTGGACCGTGCCACCCAGGTAGGCCTGCCACTCCCACGCACGCCCCTCCCAGGAATGACTTCTCCCAGGCCCACCCCTGCCTCCCAGGTACACACCCTCTTCCCAGGACTGTCCCCTCCTGGGCCCACCCCTTCCAGGAGCACGCTCCCCGAGGACCACACCCAAGGTCGACCCCCCCAGGTCATCCCTTCCGAAGCCCAGCCCCCAGGTCCACGCCAGCGCCCGCTGCGCTAGGGGCAGGGATGCCGCAGCCTGGCTCCCCTGACGCCCACCGCCCGCAGGACGCCCTCTGCGGCTTGTGTGGCAACTTCAACGGGAACATGAAAGACGACTTTGAGACGCGGAGCCGGTACGTGGCGTCGGACGAGCTGGAGTTCGTGAACTCGTGGAAGGAGAGCCCGCTGTGCGCCGACGTGCGCTTGGTGGCGGACCCCTGCAGCCTCAACGCCTTCCGCCGCTCCTGGGCCGAGCGCAAGTGCAGCATCATCCACAGCCAGACCTTCGCCAGCTGCCACAGCAAGGTGGGCGCCCCACGCGGGCAGGTGGGCGGGCACCGCCGGCGGGCAGCCACACAGGGTTCTCCGGCTGCGGGCCACAGTCGACCTGGCTGGGGTGCCAAGGCTCAGCGGCTTCCTGGAACCGAACACTCTCCATGGCCCAACAGGGCCATCCTCTTAGCCACAGCCCCCACATGCCCCGGGGCCCAGTGTGGCCCCATGGGACCCCTGCTCTCAAGCACTCGAGCAAGTGCATGAGGGGAAGCCAAAGAACGCAGGCTGTGTCCGGGTGTGAGCTTCCTGGACTTGGGGGTGTGATCACTCTCAGGCTCAGTAAGGCTGACAGGAGGGCACAGCAGGCGCAAAGGCCGACTCAGTGGCAAGGAGCACAGACCCCAGGGAGCGGTCGCCAGGCAGGCCGGAGGGGCTGCAGTGGCCGTGGCGAGCAGAGCCCTGGCCCAGTGGTGCTCTCAGGGCGCAAGTTCTCAGACTCCTCCATGCAGCCCTCAGCCGAGGGCAGGCAGCCCGGCTTTGGTCGGGGGGCGCGGCTCCACGTGCTGCCCACGCTCACGGTGGGGGCACTGAGCCACCACATGCCAGCCTCACCGCGCGCCCAGGCCCCAGGCGGCAAAGCCCGGCGCTCAGCCCTCCCGCGACAGCCACACACTGTCACTCCCACAGGTGTACCGCATGCCCTACTACGAGGCCTGCGTGCACGACGCGTGTGGGTGCGATACAGGCGGGGACTGCGAGTGTCTGTGTGATGCCGTGGCCGCCTACGCCCAGGCCTGCCTGGACAAGGGCGTGTGTGTGGACTGGAGAACCCCAGCCTTCTGCCGTGAGTAGCCACCCCCACACCCTTCCCCAGTGGGGCGCAGGCCGTGCCCCACAGGGCCACCTGGGCTGTCCCCCGAGAGCCGAGTCTCCGTGCCCGCGTGCAGGGCCCCGCGGTGCGGCCGGGTCGAGGCCGAATCCCCTGCCAACCGACGGGCGCCCTCCCTCCAGCCATCTACTGTGACTTCTACAATACCCACACGCGGGCGGGTAACGGCGAGTACCAGTACGCGCAGGAAGCCAACTGCACGTGGCACTACCAGCCCTGCCTTTGCCCCGGGCGGCTGGAGAGCGTCTCCGGTGCCAACCTCGAAGGTACTGGCAGCTGGCAGGGGTGGGTGCGGGGACGCGTCCACATGCAGGCTCACTGGCACGCATCTTCGCCCACGCAGGCCCGTTCGCCATTCATGCTGGCTCGTCCATTCACACTCAGCACACATTCACGCTACGTTCACGCATTCACGCGCAGTCCCCCACCCCCACACGCATCCACACACTGCCCTCGTCCACGCGCCCAGCATCCACTCGCCCATTCGCACTCAGCACATTCGCGCATCGCCCGCCCCCTCACACGCCCATTCATTCATTCATTCACGCATACGCCATGCATTCGCTCACACACTCATTCGTTCATCCACACGCACCTTCATCCACGCGCACATGCATGCACACGCCAGGCCAGGTCTGAGCTAGGGGACATGGTCTGACCCAGACAGTCCTGCCTTCCAGAGCCCCCTTCTGGCAGGGAGAGATGCCCGAGAACAGAACGAGGAACCATGAGACAGGGTCCGACGACACGCCATGGGGGCCCATCAGGCGGGTGTGGGGGAGAGACGGGACCTCCCTGTCGTGGAGGTCTGAGCGGAGGCAGACATGTGGGAGAGGCTGGGAAGGAGGGTGGGGCCAGGAAGGTGTCCAGGGAGCGGCCAGGAGCAGGGAGGTGCAGGGGGTGGGGGCGGACAGAGAGAGGGAGGGACTGAGGCTGAGGGAGGCGTGGG